AACAAGTCGGTTCTCATCAGAGGGCTTTATTATGGTATAGTTTAACTGCCTTCAGCAGCAATGGTTCTACAGTCTACTCTTCGCAGCTTGTTCTGTCTGTCTGTCTGTCTGTCTGTCTGTCTGTCTGTCTGTCCGTCTGTTCTTCCAGCCTAGAGACTGGCAGGATTCTTTTCTCTTTTCAGTAAATTTTCATTCTTTCCATCTTAAATAGATTTTAACTTGCTTAGTGTTCAGGGAATCTAAATTCGTACCAGAATATATTTCCCTTTGACATTTATTAAAATGTAACAATCTTGAGCTAATATTTATTTAATGTAGTCAAAACACCCAGAGCAAGCAGCCACCAAAAACCAGGTTCAATTTAGAATATTGAAAAATCTTTCCAAACATACTGCCTCTCTACATTTTAACAATGATGCCTTCAATAGCAATCTTTTCCAGCTTAGAGTAGGTAATCGCCCTTGTCTAATGGCTCTTCTTTAGACATAGCTTTGGTTTTGCAGTCTATCATAATTTGACTGTTCCATTCTCTTCTCTTCTCTGTCTTTCTACCTACTATACTCTTGATCCACACCACAGGGTATGGATAGGTTCTCCTGTCTTCATGTGTTCACCAAAACACTTTCCTCCTCTGGAAATTTGAACCCTGCTTCCAGCCCTACATGTCCTGCTCTGTTTTGCTTCTCTGTGAGGCCACCCTGTTGAAACTACTAGCTTCTCAGTGACAGCAACTCTTAGCTTGTGTCTGTCCAGCACACCTTTCACCTTGGCCTCTAATAACTCAGTGGTTCTTCAGAGTTCCCCTAGCTGTTTGAAATTTAAAAGTGGACTTTGCCTACTTTTAACATCCCAGGACATGTTTTTAACCTGATGATCATAACTGACATGTGAGTCTCTTAAAATGTGGGAAGGTGGGGAACTGTGTAGGACTTTATACATAAATACATGAAATAAGTGTACACATTCATATGTATGTATGGATATGTGTGCATGTGTACTTTTCTGAGGAGGGGATGTGCAACTTACATCATATGTTCAAAGAGATGTACTACTCCAAAAAAAATGGTTAAGAGCAACTTTTAGATTACTAGTCTATTCGGGCATGGGCACTCTGCCACTCACACAGATGGGGGTGATAACTGGAGCAACCAAGAAATCATGAATGTGCATCAAATGTGGGTGCTTAGGGCATGGTACCCAGCTGGGCAGGTGGAGAACGCCATCCACCCAAAGCTGCCAAGGGCGATTAGCCAGGGCTGATGAAACTCTGGACTGCACCGACTTTTGGAAATCGCAGTCAAATCCAGTCCTCCCTGGTACTGGCACTGCAGCTCAGCAGTTGGCAGAGCTTACCCAAGTGCTCTGCCCGTGCCTTTGTCAGACGCTACCTTGGCAGGGGCAGCACTGTTCCTTGTCCCTGTCTGTGTTTTCGTTATTCCCAGACAGAATCAGTTTGGTTAGTAACCATGCTTCAGCATCACAGATCCATGAAGTAGAGCAGAATTCTGGAGGGAAATACGGCGCGGGACTCATTTCCATGCTTAAATTGGGTAGAAAGGCTCTCGGGTTGGGGATGTGGTTCTTTGGTCAAGATCTCGCCTAGCAGTTTTGAGGTCCCAGCTTTGGTCCCCACCATGACATAACAAAACATTGAGAAAACCAACAGCAGTAACGACCAAAAACCTCTTCAGACAAGTATCTGGTATGGATGCTATATTTCTTCTGTTCACTCACAGTGACGCAAATCTATCAATACTGTCAGTGGTTAGCATGAATCACAGGACAAGATGATGCAACCTCATGAGGGAGGTGGTCCTTTGTCAATATCTTTTAACTTCCCACGCTAAGGCAGTTCATGTAGGGGAAATATTTTTCTGGCTACTGATATTCTTCCATGCTTTTCCTAGAGAACTTTCTGTGAAATTGGTTTGACTGAAAACAGGCATAAAAAAGCAAGTATCGTCCCAATTTTCATGTGCACTCATGTCTTGGCTAAGTATTCTGGCCCCTTGTTGAGATCATTTAACACAGATTCTTCCTCTTCACAGAGATAGCTGAAGAGACATCAAAACAACATTTAATTCAGGTCACTGGGTTTGGGGAATTTATTCGAAGTGTATTCCTTCAAAGTTACTCCTTACCTGTATTAGTTTTGCCTATTCAAAGAAATCATTACAAAAATCTCACTATCTCAAGCGCATAGTGATAGCCAAAGTTACTTATTCCAAAGGCAATTGCGACAAACTTTCCAACACCATAGCTATGTGTAAAAGGGGAACTTTTTAATTTGAAACAGAATAAAACTTGCATCTAGTCAAATCAGTGCTTACCACTGAATTGTTTTAGGTTGCAATGGTCTAGCTGAACATTCTAAGACTTGAGTGTGTGTTTTGAATCATCTGACTGGTTGTTAGAACACAGGTTTGTAGGCTTCTCCTCCCAAATTTGACGTACCGTAGACTGGGGGGTGTGGCTGAAAAATAAGATTTTTCACAGGTTCTCAGGTGACACAGATGCTGCGTGTTTGGGGCTCACACCGTGACAAAACTAATCTGTGACTTAGAGGTCATGACAAAACTAATCTGTGACTTAGAGATCACGAATGCTTGCAATCAGAAAGAACACATTCTCAACTCCCTTGCAGCTTGCGATACTATGAGGGTGCAAACAAGATCCATAAGTGCTTTATAAGTGCAACGAGACACAGAACTCCGGGGTGGCAGGGTTCCAGGAGACTCCCCTCACTCCCCGATTTGGTTAGCATGAAGAGCGTCCCGACTGAAAGACAGACACAGAGCTACTCCACTGTAATCCCTTCACTCAGGAGCCTGAGACAGGAGGATGGATGGTCTTGAGTCCAAGATATAACATAACGTTGTCATTGGAGGATCTCCACAAAGGATCCTGAAACTACATTCAGAAAAGAACTTAAGGACTAGTCAGAGCAACGTGAATGTATTCAGTATCAATAAGGGACAACATGTACTTTAGATGTAAGTGCAGGTGGGGGTGGGATTAGGAGAGGAGAGGACAGGGGAGGGGAGGGCAGGGGAGGGGAGAGGAGGAGAGGAGAGGAGAGGAGAGGAGAAGAAACACAAGCACAAGAGAAGGAGCCAGTTTGTCTTGAGGAAAGGACGATACTGCACACTGGAGTCATAACTGTGTGTGTGTGGGGGGAGGCAGTTATGCTAGGATTTTTATGATATGTAGATGTATGTTTATATATGTATGTGTGTATATGCAATATAATTCTGTAGCTTTCTAAGTTAACATGTTCATAGTATGTAACTTATAAGGCTTAAAGATTAAGCAAAGTTTAAAAGTTAAGAACAGTTTAAAAATAAAAGAAAGGGCACAATTTACCTATTTCTTTTATCTTAAAGAATGCCCTTGAGGCAGAGGCAAGTGGATCTCTAAGTTCGAGGCCAGCCTGGTCTACAGAGTAAGTTCCAGGACAGCCAAGGCTACACAGAGAAACACTGTCTTTAAAAACAAAATAAAACAAACAAAAAGAATGCCTTTTTGTGGATAAGACTGTAAGGCGGTTTTCTGAGGTTGTTTAATGGTTTAGAGATGGTTGGAGTGTGTGCTGAGAGAGTTAAACTCAAGGCCACAACCGTTCTGGCCCTAAGTGACCACAGTGACATTTAACGTTGTTTGGTTGTTTGAGATTTATTCAGGAAAATGAGCATTATCTCTGAAGGCAACCTTGGCTTTAGGTGGTGCTGAAGTTTCTTGACACTCAGCCAAGAGGAAACCAAAACTAGACCTTAGGGTGAGATTCATTTTTTTTCTTTTCCATGTCCCCTTGTTTTCTCTGTCTTCCTATCCTGCCTCAATCTGAGAGAAGAGAGAAGATGTTTGGGGAATGAGATGAAAGGGATTCTATGGGAAACGATGCAAGCTCGTTGAAGGCAATTTTAGAGTTAGAACAGTGGTCATCCCAGGACCTGAGGAATTGGTACCACCAGGAACAATTTGATATGGAAGGCTTCCAATACCATTCAAAAAGAAGTACAGTGCCAGGGGGTGGTGGCTTGTACTCAGAGGCAGAGGCAGGCAGATATCTGTGCGTTCGAGGTCAGCCTAATCTACAAGAGCTAGTTCCAAGACAGCTAGAGCTGTTACAAAACCCCTGTCTCAAAAAACCAAAAACGAAAAATGAAAAAAAAAAAAAAAGGAAGTGCAGACTTCCTACAACAGGCCTTTTGTCTCCCATCCACACTTCATCTCCTTCCAAGTCATGGTGGCATAACCACCTAGTTCCATACACCGCGAACAGTGTAAGCTTCCCACAGCACAGTTGTAGGAGCTGGAGTGAGTGGCAAAAAGTTTTAGTCTCTGTATTTCAGGTATTTGTGAGGATAACAGCTCAGATTGGGAGACGGGTTATTCGAACTGATAAGTCCAATATTTTTTCCTAAGTTTCACTAATTGGAAAGCTGACAACTTAGAGAGGTCTCTTGAAATACATACGAAGATTATTTGAATGTAGATTTAGGTTGACAGCAAGAATTGGAAAAACCTTGGATGGCTGGGGTAGCCCAATAGAGGGTCTAAAGGCCGAGAGACTGAAAACGGGTTCTTTTTAATCTTTGGGGTGCACCAATAGGAATCACCTGCAGATCCTACTAAAATTCAGGTATAGAATGAGCAGGCCTTTGAGCAGGTTAGAGACTACACGTTCCCTTACAAGATCCAGCATTGTCGATGTCAAAGGTTGCAAGCTGAATTTTGAAGCAAAGTTCCATGGATAATCCATAACTTGTCACTAGGGAGAGAGGTCTGTCCCCTGACAGAAGGAGGATGACAGCACTATTAAAGCTAAGGGTGGGCCTTTGCAGGGAGGGTGTGGGGACACGGTAAGGCCAGGAAGCAGGACTGGGAGGCACAGGTAGGCTTAGGTGAATGCCAGCCAGGCGCAGCTCTGGGCTGCGGAGCGCTTTCAGGTCTTTCGGCCCTCGGCGGCTCCCATCGCAGCTCCGGGGCGCGAAGCGAAGACGGCGACGGCGGCCGTGCCTCCCGCGCGAGCGCGCGGGCATGCCGACACCCACTCGGCCGGTCCCGGCGCCCCGGCTCCCGGAAGCGGAAGGGAAGCGCGGCCCGGCCTGGGCGGCGGAGGCGCGGAGCCGAGTGGAGAGCTGCGGAGCGGGCGGCGGTGAGTGTGGGCCGGCGGGCGGTCCTACACCTGCGGCGGAGCATCCCTCCCGGAGGCCGCGGCCCCTCGCGGGCCGGGTGAATTGACCCGGGCGGGAGAGAAATCCGCCGAGTTCTCCCCGGGACTCCGGCTTCCCTGCTCCTCCGGGGCCCGTGCTGCCGGTGTGACCGCGCGGTTCATTCATTTCGAGGTCTCTGGTGCGGAGCTGCAGAGGAGCCCCTAGAGAAACCGTGCACCTCCACTGACCTTCTCTTTCCTCTCGCTCGGCCACACCGGTGATTTTGAGAAAATGGCTTTCCGCATGGCAGCACTTTGCACTTGTTACCATTCTCTGTAATCGCTACCTGGACTTAAACTGCAGTGAGCCTTTAAAATTTATGGTCTTTTTCGAGCTGTATTTGGGTCACATTTTAAGAACCCTTATGAGTCAGTGGAAGATGTTTGTATCTTCAGGGCGAAGACGACTTGCTCGATTATTACTTGAAAATACAGCAGTCTAGCAGTTCATAAAAGTATAGGATGGGGAAAAAAAATCAAGGTCATTGTGGGTGGGTCATAAATCATAGTATAAAAATTACAACCCAAAGTAAGGGCAAATAAGAGTAATTAAGTGTAAGCTAAAAAGACTTGTCAAATGGGTCCTCCACCCACTGCTAATATGTGCCCCCCCACCAAAAAAAATTCACTACTTACTTTGTGGTAAAAGATAATAATAGCCCTTACCATTTGATGACTGCTTAGTGAGTGCCCTTCCTAGATGAAAGGGTTTGGTGCAGTATCTCATTAAGTTCTTCAGTGCTTGAGATTCACAGATAAAGTTCAGAGGGGTTCTCTGTTTTACCTCAGCCGGCCCTCTCTCAACAGGAAAGCTTTTGAAGAGGTGTGAAATCAGTTGGAAATAAAACAAATTTGGAGTTGAGGAAAGGAAAACCAGATTCTCTTTTGTTTCCTGTTCTATCCAGCTGTGGGGTCATGGGTAGGTCAGGGATCCAGTTTATTTTCTCACCCATATATTTAGGTAGCCAGGGTAAACTTTTCCAAGAACCGTGTTTTCTTGTTTTTTTTTTTTTTTTTAAGGCTTTTCCATGTTTATTTGGCAAATGCCAGGTTTTTAACTTGACACTTTTTGACATGGTGAGGGGACATTTAAAGCATTTATCTCATGGGAAAAAAAATGTAAATATGTTTGTAGTACCAGAGCTCCAGAATTCAGTTTGGATGTAAATCAGTAGAATTATGCTAGATATCTTCCAACTGTGGAGATTTCAACTACTGTTTTAGGAGCTGTAGCTGGGAGAAACAAAATAGTACATGTTCAAGAGAAACTGATATCTAAGCATGCTTTGTTTTATTAAGAAAATTTAAACCTAAGTACCTACACATAAGTATAGCAGTTAAGATCCAGATCGTAACATTTTTACTTATTTGGCCAAAGCCTGTTTTCTCTAATTCATAGTGGGTGATTCAGAATCATAATAGGAAAGCACAAATCTTAGTAAAGAAACTAAGAACTCTGGGAATGTCCACATGGAGCCCATGGAAACGTCTTCAGCATAGGCTTTTACATTGCGCAGTGTAACTTTATCAGACATGAGTGGGAAAGCAAAGGGATGTAGACTTTCTTACGTTATTTAACAATATTAGGGCTTAGACTCAACTTTTCAAATGTTGTGGAAATAAAAGATCATTCATTTACCATCTAGTGGAACAGTCAGTGCACAAATGGCTCTCGCTGAAATTGAAAATGTTTGACTTCTCCCCATATAGATGAGTGCATATGTATGTATGAACCTGTATGTGTGTGTGCATACATGTGCCTATGCCAGTCAGTGGTAGAGTTCTTGCCTAGGACGAGCAGGGCCCTGGGTTTGATCACTGGCACTGGGGGAAGGAAGAGGATGGAAAACAAAAGTAGAAGGAAGCACACCTCCTGTCTTGTCAGGGTTGCAATTTGTTGGGTAAGAGTCCCCAGTAAGCTGTGTCTTTTGTTTGTTTTTGTTTTGTTTTTTTGAAGCAGGGTTTCTCTGTGTAGCCCTTTCTGTTCTGGAACTTACTTTGTAGACCAGGCTGGCCTTGAACTTACAGACATCTATCTCCATCTGTCTCTGCTTGGATTAAAGGTGTGCACCACCACCACCTGGCTAAGACTTATCACTTTAATAGGCATATTTTTTTTATACATTAGGCAGTTAGCCAAACCAAAATACCTTACTATGATGGTAGTTTATTTACTTGTTTCCTGTTTTACATCTCCCTGGAGTAAGTTGTGACATTTTCTGGTTATGTCTTTTGCATTAGAAGCCTCCTTTTCTTTTTTAGTCACCTCAGGGTAGATTAAGCTTCTTCTAGGATTTAAGAGACTGAATGTAGATATCTGTACATTGTGCATGTGTGTGTCACACACACACACACTTGAGAGCATGCACACACACACACACCACAAAATTGATCAGATTAGGTACAAATTAGTAGTGCTTGATTGTGATCTCCAGTTTCTGGTTTTAGGCCTTTTATCTGTGGCTACAGAGTTACTAAGTTGTTCAAAACTTGCAGGTTTTCATAGTTAGAAGCATTTAGTGTTAGTGTGCTTAACTCATACCCACTTTGGTAAGCTTTGCTGAGTGTGGGCAACCTAATCTAGCTCCCCTTTTTTTTTTTTTTCTCCCAGGATATCTTGGCCCAGTGGCTACTTGTAGGGCAATAGTTGCTTGGTCAACACCCAGGAAGAACCTTACTTGGCCTCTTCCTTTCTGGCTTTTACTTTATCTGAACGTTTTTTTCCTGGTGCTATTTTTTGGAGGAAGGTTACTATTGAACCTGTCCCTACCTTACATTAATGGTGCATTTGTGTTCTCGTACTCCCATGTTCCTCAGTGAAAGTTCCCACAGAACTTTTGTGCGGCTGAAACAGTGTCTGATAGTCTGTCTTTAGTGGATACCATGCTATGTCTTCCAAGTTATTTGGTCAGGAGAGTCTAATGAAGCCCGTGACGCTGGTGCAGCGCTGACGTGTGTAACGCTAGCGCGGTGCTGAGGTCCATTGGGATTGTTCCACTCCTGAGGCCAGGATACAGAACACCAAGTGCCTGCGAAGAGCAACAGCTTATGTACAGTTTTGTTCCCATCCAGTGACTGAAAGCTTTCCACAGAGTGCATTCTTGAAACCACTGGAGGTGCAAGGGCAATGCATTTGGGCACTGGAGTTCTTTTTGGAGAACTGTGTCTCCAAATGCCTTGACTGCACTTGTCCACCAGCTTCTGAAGTCAAGTGCTGATTTTCATCCATGCCTCACTCTTTAGTTTGACATCTTACTTTGTGTTTGAGATTTGGAGTAGGGCCTTTGTTTCAGATCAAACCCCTAGTTTTCTTTTTCTGATTGAAAATATATCAGAGAGCACGTGGCACACCTCTTTCCCGCATACTTAGAATGCTGGCCAATGCCAGTGGCAAGACTGAAGGGATTTTCCTGACAGTTTATTTATGTTGGGTAAATGTGTATGCAATGCGTGTGTGTGGGTGCACACTTGCCATGGTGCGTTTGTATAGCCAGAGGTCAGTGTGCAGGAGCTGGGTCTCTCCTTCCACCGTGTGGGTCCCAGGGATTGAACTCAGGTCCTCAGGCTTGACAGCAGGTGCCTTTACCCACTGTGGGATCTTGCTGGCCCTGAAGGGTTTGCTATGACACATAATTCCCTGGTCTTGGTATTAAATAAAGTAGAAAGTAGATGGGTGGCTAAATTTATTACCACTTTTGATCATGGGCTACAGGGATACTTTTACATAGTAAGTGCTAAAGTTAGAAGTAATACTTATCTTTAATTCACTTCCCTTTAAAGTTACCATTGGGCAGTGCTGCTTCCTTGCCAGGCAGCTTCTCACTGAAGTGTGACAGCAGCCCTCTAAGTTGGCGGGATTGTCCCCGTTTGCCATGTTACAGTGAAGCTTGGAAAGAAAGTAGACTGTGCCACAGTTTACCCTAGTTCCTTATTTTTAATGTCCATCCAAGAGTTAGGTTTACTTTGTTGATAATACACTATCTGTGATATTTTAACAATTGCATTAGCTCATTGGCTGATTCCTGGAGTCAGCTAGAGACTGGTATTTTGACTTAACTGCTATGATTAACTAATTTTTTTAGAGTAGAATAAGATCAAAATAGCTTTAGGGTGGCTTTAAAGACACACACCTGCAACTTTGGTTTTTATTGCTGTGTGTTAGAAAAATTATTTAATGACTTATATTGTTTTGGATGTAGAGTGTTAATAGATGTAGAGTGTTAATGTTTTATGACATTTTATAGTTCTGAGGCAGTGGGATATTGTCATCCCTAACTTTTGGAATTAGGGACTAGATACGGCTTGTATTCCACTGAGAGTGATGGCTTTGATTTTAAGTCAGTGAATGCGAGTTTGACTCATGGATGACTATCCTGTACTCTTTCCTAATCACGTGACTAAAGACACTGAGGAAGCGCTGTAGCATTCCAGCCTTACAGCTTGACTTATGGTATTGCCTTGGCCATCTTTCATAATGAACTGCATGTAAGGCTCAGTGTTTTTTTCCTGGAAAAATAATTCATTTAGCTACCATTAAGGGGTAGCAGCTCCCCAAGTTCATCATAAATACTTGGCTCCCAAGACCAAGGCAAAGAGAAAGAGACCATTTTGAACTTGCTTAAAGTTAGTGGGGGCTGTGAGATTGCTCAGTGCCTAAGAGCACCTTCCAGAGGACCTGAGTTTCTTTAACACCAGTGCTCTAGAAGTTAGGCTATAATTAATAACGTGGCTGAATAAAGAAGTGAATTGGTACATCCTATATGGAGTTCATTATAATGTTATTGTTAACTTTTGAACTGTAGAAATTCACTTTTGTGGGTGACTCCTGGTGGTCTTGTACATTTGAGTGAAGCATATATTCAAGTTTACTCTCTGTTCATTGATGTCTTCTCTGATGAGTCATGCTTAGGGACTTGTAGCTTCCCGTTTTGATCATCATTGCCCCGACTCTCACCCAGTGAGCTCAGACTGCATTGTGACTCTGCTTTGGGGCTCAGGAAGGTCAGTGTTCAAATGCAGGACACAGGAGTATTTGGTTTTGTCGAAACTGAGTGACCTCAAAAGAGAGCTTCCCGGATTAACGGCCATGGGTGCTCCTGGGGTTGGAGTATGAAAGCGCAGGTCGAGTGACATCGTCTGATTTCTGATTCTAACACTAGTTATTGGCATTCTCTCAGAATGTCTACCTGCTTACGGTTTTTGTCTCTGAGAAATTATTGTTACACTGTTCATAGGCACTCACGGAAAACTGTTCTGGATGGGAGGCCTGTATGATGGGATAAGCACTATAAAGAAATAAATCAAAGGATGAGTCAAGAAGACACTGCTTGTAAATGCAAGTGCCGGGAAAATCACAGCTCCTCGCCGTGAACTCGCAGTGGTAAGTGGGCATTTGAATTTACACGGGAATGTGCGTCCTTTCTGTGACGTGGTGTGACCTTGGAATCCGGTGGTTAGCAGGTCGTTCATTGCTAATGAAGAATTAAAGGCAGTTGAGACTTATTTGACTTTTTATTTTAAATCTTGATGGAATGTATCTTCTTAAATAAAACTTTTCTATTACAAACCTCAGACACCTTTTAAAATTATGAACCTTACATGGCTTTATGCAGATCTTCTGTGTCACACTAAAAAAACTGATTTGAAGTGAGAAATCCAAACATGTTTTGTTAGGTCATTAGTGCCCGTGCTTTAGGCTGTTTCTATTTTCCAGTCGGTTGAGAAGAATGTAGTAACATGCCCTCACTACTAAACTTAGGAGAAAGTTAAGTGTTGTACATAGAACATAAAAGCCATCTCCTCACCGCCCTGTCAGCGTGTGTTGTGTGTGATCTAAGGAGCGGTCCGTGAATGGCCGTGTGTGCAGTGAGCGGGGCGAGCAAAGATGTCGGGTAGCCAGTACAGAGAAGCATGCACGTGACGGCAGAGTCTCATCACACTAGCATTTCACTGTGTCCAGTCACGACGCTCAAGTAGCTGGAGATAGTAAACATCGCCAGTGCCAAGCCACAGGCTTGCCACACCAAGCAGAAATCCACTGGGAAAGTTGAGGCAGTCAGCCGTACTTCCCGTGTGAGCTTTCTCTGCATAGATGGTCTGCCCACGGCTGAACTTCCCTTCTGAGGTAGATATTTTTACTGTGGTGAATACTGGTCACCTTTGTCAGAGATGGTTCACTTTCCCCTGTTGTCAAGGACATAGTGTTTTCCCTGGAGGCTGTTGTGCAGTCTTTCTTACTCGTCACAGACTTAGATTTTGGAGGACATATGACATAAACATGCTGGGGTCTGCAGTGTAGCTCAGCTTCTGCAGCCATCTTCCCAGGGACCTCAGTCAGCGTGTGAGAGCTGACCCTTAGTACACTGTATCATGGGATGACTGGAGCAGTTTGGTTACTGTTTCCTTAGACTCTATGTACATGTTTCCCATGTACTCTATGTAGAAATCACTTCTATTTTTCCTAAAAACTATTATACAAGCCGCCCTATAACTTGGGCCCCCAAATTTTCACCTTGGAAAATTCAAACAGAAATGTGGAAATAAATTTTCAGGTGTAATAGCTGAATGCCATCTCTTGTTGTTTCTGCAGCTGGTGCTCTGAACCTCATCATATACTCACTGGTCTCTCTGCCCACCCATCAGTCAACTTTTTTGTTATTCTATTTCAGAGTAAGTTGCAGACCTCAGGAACCCCACCCTCATACTTCAGTATAGGTTATTTTTCAATATTGAGTCAGGCTTGGCTTATAGCTTTGGCTTTGTAAAGTGGCATGCACATAGCACAGATTGCCTTCATCTTAAATGTACTTTCCCCAAGTTTGATGAATGTTTGATAAAGCTGCAATAAGATTTTAGATGGTACTCTATTTTTTTGATTACAGAAAGTGTTGTATTTCCGTATATCCTTGTCCTGTCTGCTTTCTACACTTGCGAGTGTGCTCTGATAAGTATTATAAATAAAACTGCTGGGCTAAAGGCTTTCACATTTTGATGGGTGTGCCAAATTGTCCTCTCAAGAGGACTGTATTCACTTACATGCAGGTCAGCAATGTACGGGAGTGCTTTTCCCTGTGCCTTCTCAACATATGAGAAAGTACCTAGTCACTCCCCATTTCCTCATCAGTGATGACTCCCATTTGGTTTTTCTGTTTGTGAGTTGCTTCCTCTTATGTTTACTTTGTCTGCCTCTTATCAGTCATACGTTAAAATATTCTTTCCAGGAGGGCCTTGTCTTTAATTTTGTCTTTTGTGTATTTTGAGCTCAGAAATTTAAATGTTTATATTGTCTGTCTTTTTTGGGGTTTTGGTTGTGAAGGCCATCCTCCCTCCAAGCATTTAAAATTCCTTGCTTTTTTTCTTCCAGAGTTGGATTTTATTGGTCTTTATAAGGAAACAGAGATCATTGTGAACTAAAGTGCCAGGGAAATTTGTGTTACTTTTTGGTCCTGAGTTAAATTTAAACAGTAAACAGAGTGCTGGGGATACTTGAGACATGAACAGCAAATGCTGAATGTTTCTCATACTTATGGAATAGTAATAACACCAGTTTTGGCTAAAGTGCAGAGTCATAAACTAAGTTTGCAAATACATGTTTGACTTCATTTCTTGTTAGTTATTTTGGCTAATCCTTACTTTTCTCTAAAATTTTTATCCTGAGATTACAATTTTCTGTCATATAGTCAATTCTTTTGTTATTTTTTCCCTCAGTGACTCAAATCTTTTTTTTATCTGAGGTGGTGAACTGAAATGGCAAGAAAGGAAAGAGCGTATCCCTTCAGAATAAATAGAACATTGTAAATATTTCCTCAGGGCAGTTTATTACAGTTGAATTATAATTTCTTTAAAAGTAGTTTATGCTGTAGTAATTACGTCAGTATGAAGCCAGTCACTGCACTAAAGTACAGTCACCAGATAGCAATCTCCAGTGTCGAGGAACCAGTTCGTCAGCTAGTCACTTCAAAGTTTGACTATGAGCTCACATTTAATATACAATTAGCATCTCCAGCTAATGAAAGTATTTGGCAGATGCCGCCCATAAGCCTGAGCAGCGCTGTTGAGTTTGATTATTGCTCCGTGTGTAATAGTTTCTGTCCAGCCATCAGCCACACCTGGTAGCCGTCCACGCTGGCGTGATCCTGCCTCTACCAGTCACAGGCTTGTGGCTCTGGGAAGCCCACTGTTCTCCCAGCCGACTGGAAGGACCATGTGTCGCTGAGTTTTACTGATCAGGTATTTGTTTCCAGTGTTCAACCTTGTGTTCCTTGTTTAATTCTCTGGTCTCGCTCTTCTTGGGGATGCTGTTGTAGAGTGTTTCCTTTCCATATATTTTCCTTCAGGGAAACAGACCTATCTTCGATGACGTTGTCACTGTAGTTGTTTCTGTTGTGAGGTATTGATCTTTTAATAATAACAACTTGTTACTTCAAAACTAAAGGAATTAAAAACAAAGATCAAAAGAAGAATAGCTGATAGTTTTCTTTCTTGCTAGTAGGTTTGTTCGTGTTTCTATTCTAATGCTAACAGGGTAGAAGTGAGCACACGAGTGTTCTAGTATGTGAAATTTGTTTTTAGTCCGGAGTAGAACCAAAGCATTGAGAGCCAAAAAGGCAGATGAAGGCCATACTATTGAGTATGTTGAGAGGCAGAGCCTGTTTTTTTTTTTTTCTGTAGCTCTTGATAGTTAGCAAGGGTGTAAAAATATTAGTAGTAAATTTTGGGCCAACCTGGGCTACATAGCAAAGCCCTTTTCCAACTTCCCATCCTCCCAAATTATTCTTTGGAATGGATCTCTTTAGCTATGTGGGTATTTAATTTGTGTGCTTTTGGTTTTTAGTGTAATGATTCCTAGAAAATTACACAGTATGCTTTATTTTCTCTGGTTTTCTTTACTTTAATGACACTGGACTGTCTTGTAAATTTCCGACTAAATGGTAATGAAGTTCAGCTTTTACTTTTTAAAGGACCTAGGTGCTAGCCCTGTTATCATTCTTATAAAATACTGGTTTGGACTTTATCTGATTTGAATTGTTGGGGGTATTACATTTGAGTTCTTGCCATCCCTTTTAAATTACAAATATATTTTTAAATTAATTTATTTTTTGGTTGTGTTGGGGATGGATGCTAGGCAAAGAGTCTACTGTTAATTAGCTGCCTTCCTTTTCTTCTGTTGCTTCAGGAGTTGGAGTTTCTAAGGATGAGAGGGGATGTATTTTTAACTTTAGTGCTCTTTGATTTTTGTTTTGGTGGCCTTTGGCCATGCTGAGCACCCCAAGACCCTTCAGTGGGAGACCAGTCACTCTTAGAATCACATGGTTGGTGTATCATCAGCTGCAGATCTGGGGTCATCCTTGTCTGTTCTCTAACTCCTAGTAGTGAGCCAACTAGTGAGGCTTACTGATTTGATTTTGTTTCAGTTGCTCTCTTCTCTAAAATTAATTTTGGCTTTTGTATTCTTTTAGTTGAATTGATCTGTCTTTAACTTTATTCTCCATACAAGAGTTTAAAGTACAAATCTTACTTACTCCCATTTTAATAACTTTCTTGTGCATAAGAATAAAGTTCGAGCATTCTAAATGGTATCTGTTTCTCCCCCATGGTGAGAGTGTTCCCCCCCACCTTCACCCCCCTGCTCTCGCCCCCCACCCCCTCATCACTGTCCCTGGGAGGCATTGTGGCAGACTGACACCTCCTCCTGTGATGCTCAGGCTGTAGTTACCCTGTCCTTGCCTCCCTTTACAGAACTCCTGCCGTGCTTTTTCATCTTTTAAGATTGAGCTTAGTTTGTATCTGTTTCAGGAGGTCCTGCTTGGATATGGATGTAACTCGGTCCTATCTTCTGTGCATTTATTGACAACTTGTTCATAGATCTAGAACTTACCATAATAAATTAAACCCTTTTAAAATGACACTTTCCAACTGGACTTGTTTATTTAAGACAGTGGTTCTCAACCTCCCTAATGCTCCAAGCCTTTAATACAGTTCCCCACGTACCCCAAACATAAAATTATTTTCGTTGCTGTTTCATAACTGTAATTTTCTACAGTTACAAATTGTAATGTAAATATTTTTGGAGATAGAGGTTTGCCAAAGGGGTCACGACCTATAGGTTGAGAACCACTGAAGTAAGCAAAGATCATGCCTTATTGATAGATGTGTCTACACTGTAGAAAAGGACTGGCACAGAACAAGTCCTGAACTAGCAGTCGTCCTGACGATGCACGTGGGTTTGGAGCCTTGTGGCGTCCTGGAATATGTCTTTTTTCTTTTCTTTTTTTTTTAAACTCCCTAATTGATTCTAGTTTGCTACAAGTTTGAAGATGACTGGTCTAATTTATTATTATACTATTTTAATTTATATCAGAGATGCCCCTAGGCTATGTACAGTAAATAGTTGTTGTTTAACCTTTGTAAGTCGTGCCTACTACAGAATGCATGTGTTTTAGGTCACTGATGGACATCACTTCTGGTTGGAACTTCAGCTCACTTGGAGACTGTCTCATATGGGGATCTGTTGTTGATGGTTAACTCTCAGCTGAATGAAAGTCCCATTTAAACAGGAGTCCTCTTGAGCTGATAGGAATGAAATTGGTTGGGCTTCACCCCACAAATGTTAATCATTTTAACTATTTATAATTTTCACTTCATTTTTGCTTTTAAAATATTTTATAAATTTTTTCATTGTGGTTTTAAGTACATACGGGATCTTTATGTTTACATTCGCATATATCCACAAAGTGCTACCCAGATCAAGGTGCAGAATGTTTTTGGCCCTTTAGAGGCTTAGATCCCTTTCCAGCTACAAGGCACTTTTCCACTATAAGGTAACCAGAATTAGAGTCTGTGATGTTGGCTTTTTGGTGAAAGTGCTAGACTTCTGTACATGTCTTTTGGTGGAAATAGTCACTCTTTTCTCTGTGTTTACACATGGAATTTGTAGTAAGGATAAAAAGTTTCATTGAGCAGATGATAAGAATTTACACTTTTAATAGTGATGATTTATAATGAACAATTAAAATTAGATTATTTGAGGATTTTAGTGAATTTTCTGTTTGTTCCCCTAAATTCTTCTTGAGAAAAAAACCTAAATATACAAAGGAAATTCGGTAAATGTTGTTATATAGTTTCCAGAGCTGCAGTTTTTGTTGAGGAATTGTCCCATGTTTGTAACTCTCTCTTTTCTCTCTCTAGGATTGTCTTCCTGTGGGTTGGCAGGCAGTTCTAGGACTGCAGAATGGGGCTTCGGATTCACTTTGTTGTTGACCCACATGGTTGGTGCTGCATGGGTTTGATTGTCTTTGTCTGGTTATACAATATTGTTTTAATTCCCAAAATTGTCCTCTTTCCTCACTATGAAGAAGGACATATTCCAGGCATTTTGATAATAAGTAAGTTTCTAAGTCTTCTTATCTTATATAAACATTTTTTCTTACTGTGAACGTTCTGAAGTACAGTGTCTTCATAACTTTGAATGTGCTATTTCAGCAGGACTGCTAACCTTTTCATTACATTACAGTTGGACAAGACAGCAGCTTTTCTGGACTTGCAGAGTTAAGATACTACCTCCATATTCATTTCACTCCGAAAAGTCTGTGAAGACAGTTTTGTTCAAGAGAAAAGCCTGAAACAGTTCTGTTTGTTATTTAACTGCAGACATGGGCGGTTATTGATTGATTGATTGCTGTTTTGAGACAGGGCTTCCCTCTGTAACCTAGGAGTTGCCATTCTGCTGCTGCCTTTTCCATGCTGGGCCCTAGGCATGCATCACTGTGCCTAACTTGAAAATGGAGGCATGATAGGGAAGAGGGTGGAATATTTTACTAGGAAATGATATCCTAACGAGTCATGACCCTAAAAATGACTCATAAGGTCATCCATAGTGTTTACAGCTTTCATGTCCTTCCCCTCATTCTGATCTCATAGCAGCTATAAGAAATATAATCCTTATTTATACAAGTAATAAGGCTGATCCATATTGCTATGTATGATCATGTGGTCTTGGCACTCAGAAGGCTGAAGCAGGAAAATGGTGACTTGTAGGTCAGCCTGAGCTCTTTAGTAAGATGTACATCAAACAGACAAGCCAACAAACAAACACGTTTACTTTGTAGTCAGGCACACATTTGGTGAGCACTGTTTGCTTTTTATGTGTTCAGTGTGTTGGCTTTGTATTCCCCCACAAAAGGCCCATGTTTTAACTTAAAATGTATAATTATGGTGACTGAATCTCAGTTGGTCCTTAATATTATTTTTATGGTTACTTTAACTTTCAAAAGTTTTTAATTCTTCATTTCTTAATTTTTAAGAGTACATCTCTTAAGATTCATCAACAGAGGCAATTAAAATATCACTAATTTAGGATAATTTTGAAGGTGGAGTTGATGAAAGGTTAAATGTAGAATTCTTTTTAAGTGCTGTTTGATCCTTTTAAATGAGTCCATTCATTCATTCGTCATCATCAGAGGCCACTCTGTGAAAGCATCTCATTTATTTTAAGTTTCTCAGTTATTTTAGAAAATCATATTTAAATTGGTACGTTTAGTATGGCTATCATCTTGACAAGACTATTTGATGAGTAAAATAAGTTGTCTTCATTTTAATATCTAGTTTATTGATAAGATTATTCTGACGGGATTGATTAAAATGCACTTTTAAACTTTATGCTTGTTGATAAAACATTTTAAAGGGCAAATGCCTAATTTATTTATTTAATTTCATGTTACAGTATTCTATGGCATTTCTATATTTTGTCTGGTTGCCTTAGTGAGGGCCTCCTTAACTGATCCTGGAAGACTCCCTGAAAACCCCAAGATCCCACATGCAGGTAGGGTTTTCTTTAGGTTTATTCATTTTGCTGATGCTAGAATTATTAAAGTTATTAACACCTTATAAATTCCAATATATGGTTTATGTAAGTCATTGACACCACTATGAAACATGTCTGTTTTCAATTGCAAGGCCCCTCCCACCCCCTCATTTTGTGGCTGTTCTTTTCTCCTCACTCCTTAGATCCATATATATTCTGACCATGGAGGTCCTTTTTCCTTCTGTGTGTACATGATGGTGTGAACTGTATCTCTAGTCTCCAGAAGAGTCTGCCTCTTACACCAAATAAATACCTGTTAAATGAAACAAATTACCTGAGAAATTCTGGTTTATTTAAGAACAGGATTTTCACCTTGTGATATTGATAAGTTGCTTAGAGAAAATACTTTCAGTGTTATGGGCACTATTTCTTGTCTTCTGCAGATCCAAATAACTTGATGAAAAATTGAAAATTTTTGATCCTGATATCAATTAAAGATAATTTTTTTTATTAATATGTTGCCAGATAACCATTTAAACCATGAAAAGAAATGAATTGGATTGTTTATTTTGTTATATACCAGATATAATGGAAGCTCACTTTTATCTCTTTTGAGCTTATTTTTTTATTTATATTTTAACTTTTAGAATTCTGTACTTTTCTATATGCTTTTATAGTCCATTTAGGAATCAGAGCATTTTCAATAGTAAGTTAGTGGTTTCCTAACTTGTACCTCAGTGTCCAGATCACAACTGTATTAGTTAAATCAGAATGCTTGGACATTGACCCAGGTGTGAGGGAATCTTGCTGACTTAGGGGGTTCACATTTTGTCTTCTCCTACTTGAGGGAGCCAATTTTCTTCTTAAGAGGCCAAAGAACTTCTTCATTATCCAATTAAAACAGACAAATGAACAAACTGTCTTTATTACATTTTAATTTTTTCAAAGTCTACAAGTCTCATATCACATGATTCTTCAGATAATTGAGTTAGATGAGCTAGATTAGGAGTGTCTAATCTAGGACGGGCCTAGATTACCTAGTTGGACAGATACATTGCTGTCACAAACATAGACCTTTCACTGTCATCTTTTTAACCATGTGTGTATATATATTAATTTTTTTCTTTTGTCTTTTATTTTTGCTATATTTTTAGGGGGGTATCGGAGTTGTCATGCACGTTTTGGTACTGGTTATCTGATGGTTTTTTTGGGGGGGGCAGGGGGTTTCTGTTTTGTCTTTGTTTTTTTTTTTCCGAGATAGGGCTTCTCTGTGTAGCTTTGGAGCCTGTCCTGGAACTCACTCTGTAGACCAGGCTGGTCTCAAACTCACAGAGATCCACCTGCCTCTGCCTCCCGAGTGCTGGGATTAAGGCAGGTGCCACCACTACCCAGTGTAAGTACGTTTTTTAACTTAGTAAAAGTTGCCACTCTAACAAAGAAGAATAATACAGCATGAAAAATGTTGAAAATACAGAATCATGGTTTTTTTTTTTTTTAGTAAATTCTTGAAGGTTGGGAAGTTTCATATAGTTGGGTTCTTCAGAAAAAGAAACTTAAAGCCATAATAATTAAATGTTATAAACATTTTTATTGAATCACACAGAACCATTTTATATACAGTTTCTTCTTTCCTTTTCTTCTTATTTGTTTCTTTGTGTGTGTGTGTGTGAAAAGAGAGAGAGAGAGAGAGAGAGAGAGAGAGATTGAGCGCACACCGAATGGGTGTGCATTCTCAGTCACTTATATGCCACAGTGTGTTTGTAGTGGTCAGAGGACAATTTTCGGGAGCAGTTTCTTGTTGAATAAGATATTGAATGATAAAAACCCTCTACTGTATTGAAGCACTGAAGCAGGGTGTCCTGTTTCTGCAGCTGCATGGGAGCATTCCAGGCTAGCTAGCCTGCCATCTTCTAGCTGATTCTGCTATCTTTGCCTCTCATCTAGATGTTGGTCTTTTTTTTTTTTTTTTAGAATACCTTTAGCATACATGTGATTCACTAAATATGAGGCAAAGTTAAACACCAGGGAATATCCTTTTTCCCTTGAGAAGGTACTCGGAATTGGATTTTAAAACCTTTGAGCATGTAGATGTAGTAGTCAAATGAGATTGTTATACCTATATACATTATTAAAATTATTTACATGTATATTTGAAATATATATAGAAAAAGTGTTGGATCTTAAATATTACTGTCTGAAGAGCTGGGTGAGGTGGTACCTGCCTGTATTCTTACCACTCAGGAGGCAGAAGTAGAGGAATTACCTACAAATATTCAAGGCCAGCCTGAATATGTAGTGAACTTCAGGCAAGCCAGGGTTAAATAGCAAATGTGTCTCAAGAAAGAAATTTTTTTTTTTCTTAAACTTCCTGTGAGTTTCATTTAAAAAAAATTAAATGGGGACTGGAGTGATGGCTCAGTGGTTAAAAGCACTGGCCACTCTTCCAGGGGACTCAGGTTTGATTCTCAGTACCCACATGGTGGCTCACAACAGTTTGTAATCCTAGTAGAGGGCACCACGAATGCACATGCACAGACATATGTGCAGGCGAAACACTCACACTCATACACATAATCATAAAATGAAATCTTTAAAAAATCATTAAATGGTTTTTGGCTTAGGATTATGACAGAATTTTCAGTACTTTCTGAAATGGCTTTAGATGTTCTTACGCGATTTTGTGCTGTGTATGCACAATGTTCTTAGCACTGAAAATTATAAAATCAAAAGATCAATCAACTCTGCAAAACATTTGAAAACTTTCTGTCTTGCAGTATCAAATATCCATCAAGCTTTCCTTATGTGAAAACAAACAAGCATAAGTATTATTGGTATGAAATTCTTTAAATGTTAAAAGCTTGTGTAAACCAAATAATTTCTTTAAAATAATTTGTGATTCATCCATAAAGTTTGATTTGTAAACTCATTTACTTATATAACTGGAATCGTATAAGAATACCTCTGACAAGAAGGGGTTACAAATAGGGTAAGTTAAGAGCCCTGGTTTGGGCAGCAGAGATACATAGAGAGGGGTCTCTATGGCCAGGAATTCTCTTCCCTCAGGAGACAGGAAGTTAGGCATGGAATAAAACATTGATCTCTGTAGACTGCTACATACTAATTCATCAGAAAATGATAGAATGAAGGCATATTTGTGTTTTAAAGGGTTGATTTGAAAAGTCTTTATGTGAATACTGGCCCACTGTGGAGAATCTCTTTGTGTCTGCTTGTGTGAATTGTCAGTGTCAGCGTTGGCTGTGGGTGTTGAGTGTAGCGGGACCTACATGTAGTTGGGGCCACCATGAGGAGTTTCCACTCTGTGTTGTAGCAAGGCCGGCTCGAGGTCTTTAAACCACTGCAGTACTGTGTCTCTCATGATTTGTTCCATTAAAAGAGGATCTGTAAGAGATGACTTTTTAACATAGTTAATATGATACAGATTTTACTACTTTTTTTTTTTTTTTTTTTGTTTTTTGAGACAGGGTTTTTCCATGTAACAGTCCTGGCCATCCTGGAACTCACTCTGTAGATCAAGCTGGCCTTGAACTCACAGAGATCTGCCTGCCTCTGCCTTCTGAGTGCTGTGTAAAGGCCTGTGCCATCACTGTCCAGCCAGATTTTGCTTCTACTTACCTGTTTCTTTCAAAAGATCTACAGCAGAGTGTTTGTCTCATACTTTTCTATCAAGATTGGAGTATTCAATTAAATCAAAGTAATAGAATTTAAAAGGAATCTTTTAGAAAATTGAGCACTATTGCCATCTTCTTTTAAAAACAGACTCTTTTTAAAAATTTTAACTTTCGTATTTGAGTAGGCATTTAGTGATTACCACTGTTATGCAAGGGCCCCACTCTACATGATAATATTCACTCTGAGAACTACTATGTTTGTCCATTTACCGTAAGATTATGGAGGTAGTAGAAACATTAAGAAATTTTAGGAGTTTTATAATGATAAAACTTCATTTTAGTAACTGTAAAGAATATGCATCTCATATAAGGAAGCAATTATTTAATTTTGGAAGATAAATTAATAGCTTTTATAGATGTGATTAGAATGATTTGTAATGAAAACAAAATACCTTTTATCTTTACTTCTGCAAATCTATAATTGTAGGTTGCTTTCTAATAGTCCAGAGGAAATTACTGGGTGTATGGCAAGAGCTGATGCCAGTACTGAGGAGGCTGTAGTAGGAGTATTGGCAGTTCAAAGCCTGCCTGGGTTGCATAGTAGCAAGACCCTGTCTCATAAAAAAAAAAATACCCTCTTCTTTTTATTTGCACTAAATACTAATGATTTTTCTAACCTTCACTTCTTTATTGGATGCCTTCTAAACCCAATCTGACCTCCAGCCTGCTCCTAATATACACATCCAAATTAACTAAAAAATAAAATGCTTTAGAGAAATATTTATAAGATTGATTTCAACTTATTTATGTACTGAAACTAAGACTCAGTATTATTTCTTTGTTAGTGCTCTTATATTAAACAATTTCTATAAATTAATTGATTTATATAAAATTCTAGTGTTTTGATAGAGTTTAGGGTTTTATAAAATTACTTACATTCTCATGATTTTTTTCAGAGCCATGCTTTCTGTTATTTACTTAGAAATAATGGTATTGTATTTTTATAATGTTAAAATAGAAGTGTATAAGAACAGAACATATAGCAGCACTTATGGCAGAGGTGCTTGATTATTTTGGAGACCCAGAAAAAAAGAGGAATGTCTTAGAGAAACAAGTTGAAGCTTGCCTTTGGAATTTAGTAGTGGTTACTGAGTCTCAGCTGCACCGGCTGTTGTTACAGAGTCTCAGCATTACCTGCATGCCTAATTCCTAAATAATCTGCTCTCCTTCCCAGAGCGGGAGCTGTGGGAGCTGTGCAACAAGTGTAATTTGATGAGGCCAAAGCGATCCCATCACTGCAGCCGCTGTGGCCACTGTGTAAGAAGGATGGACCACCACTGTCCTTGGTAAGTAAGTAGATGATCATCAGTGCTTACAGACAGCCACAGGATTGCTGCTGAAAGTACCCTACAACATGAGTGTGTTGGTGCACATCTGTAATCCCAGCACTTGGGAGCTGAGACAGGAGGATTAGTTAATGATAATAAAAAAGAACAGTCTGAGAACCTTCCAGCTTTAAACAGAAATAACACTTAAGTCATTTCATTAAATTTTTTAAAATAAAAAATTGGTTTTTGCAACTCCCAGAATAAATATCTGTAGAGATTTATCTCTGCTAACAAGAAGACATTTGTGCAGAAAACTTCAGAATTAACACATACCCAACCAAATATGCAAAGGACTAGGGTGCGCACATCAAATGAGGCAGTGCCTGCAGAGCATTTGGTGCATGGCCAGATGTGTGGGAGCACTTACCTAACAGCTACCTACTGGGGCTTCTAAGACACAATGGCCACTGCTTCAATTCCTCCTTACTCGTTAGAGAACACTTTGCAGACTTGCTAATAACTCCCTTCCACTCCTTATGCCTTTTATAGTATTTTCTGTTGTATATTATTTACATTTTGTGCGTGTTGGATGTATATAAGAGCTAATTAGCTGTTTCTGTGGAACTGCCAATATATTTGGTCAATAGGGGGCTCTGTTGTAATATTTAAAGACACTATTAAAAAGTAGATTAAAAAACCAAATGCTCTGAGCATCTCTTGTATTTCATTTCAAAGCTGTCACAAAAATTTTTGAGCAAGATATTATATTTAATTCTACTTCTCTTACATTGGATCTTGTTTATATTTAAATTGGTATAGCACTTATAAATTGATATAGCAGTTTATGAATATATATGCATATATATATGAAGTTAACTATATAATAACTCTTTAACTTAAAAAACAGCTCATTTACCTACAGTCGATTGAGGAAGACATTTCACCTTTGTCTAATGATGCTAATCAATTTCACCTCCTTTATTATGATAACTTTCTCTTATTTATGACTATATTTTTATAGCATTGCTAATTAGCAAAATTTTAGTTTACATTGTTTTTCTTAACTATGAACTGTTTATTTAGACTTCCAGAGACTAGAAAAACAGAAGAATATTTTAAATAAAAGTACTTCAGGTTTTTTTAATTGTCTAAGTCTACTAACAGATATTATATACTAGGATATGCAGTGTTAAAAAATGTGCCTCACATTTTAAATAGATTAGTTTTCAACTTTCTAAAACTCGGTGTTACTTATATCCACAATAATAAAACATGAAAAACCCTATGTGAAATCTGCATTGAGATAAGTGGTAATCACTTTGAAAATTCATAGCACTTTTTTATATTAGTTTTCCTTATCAATTAGAAAGATAATAAATATTCATGGTAAAGTTAATGCTTCCTTACAAGAGAATGCTATAATTTAAAGTTTAAAAGAATCATCTGGGCAATGCGCCTGTTAATACTAGTGATCTGTTTTTAAGAGGTAAAGACTAACTTGTTGGTGAGGAAATGAAGCACCCTTTAACTTGAACTGTGATGCTGAGAGATTTCTGTCTGTAGGTTTTTTGTTTCCAGTATCTGTTTCAGGGTATTGGTGGGAGGAGAGGGGTGTAGAAAGAAACTGGAGATTAGCAAGGAAGGTTGATCTAGACTCGGGAATTTCTTCCATTGAATTTCCTACAGAGCACTGCTGTTGTCCAAGTGAGGGTGTCCACAGTATTAATTGGAGACAGAGGTTCTTAATGTTCTCAGAACTGCAGCATTCCAACTGTCAGAGCTTCAGAGTCGGTGGCCAGCTCTCAGACGCCTCAAAGTCTTTGCTTTCGTCTCTGACCATTCTTTCTAAATAGTTTAAGCAGAGGCACACAAGAGGGCTCTGTGCCTGTCAGAGCTCCTATGATGTCTCAGAGCCTTGTTCCGGAGCCTGTGGAGACGAGGGGTGGGGCAGCAACAGCTGAGAGCCCTTTCATGCCTGAGTGAGCGCACTTCTCTTGACAATAAAGCTTTTAATTCTCCTGTTTACCAATAGTGCTCTGTAGCCTCAGATTAAACCCACAAGCATTTCAGCTCTGTTCTGTTTGATATTTAAAAATAATGCAAAACTACACACCTTAAAAGAAACAATTTAAGACACAAATTAATCTTAACACACACATATATGTGTGCATATGTCCATACATATGTACACATGTATACACATATATTATATACGTGCATGCATGTCTATATACACATGCGCACGTGCACACACATGTTATATGTGTCTATACATACACATGCACACACATGCACATGCATGTTATGTATGTGTATATGTTTATGCATACACATGTATATGCATATGTCATGTGTGTCTATGCATACACACATGCACACATATGTGTATCTATGTGTCTATACATATGTACACATGTGTACACATGTTTTTCCCTTCTTGGTGATAGTATATTATTCCATTCTTGGTGATAGTATGGTTCTATTTTAAAAGGAAAATATTCATACAATTTTGATAAAAATAGTTTCATATTGGAATTTTAAGTTAGATTTTTCTATGGAATCTTAAAATAGACTAATTTTGTAGCAATAGAATTTACTCATTTTAAACCAACCTTGGCAGGTTATGATTATAGCATCATCATCTTTCTAGTTGGACTTCGCTGTTGTTTTGGCAGAGAGGACATGAAAATGATTTTGAATATGTTTTTATTTTTAGCTGCCAAGGATACATTTTTCTTATAAAGTAAAAATAAAGTTGTGTGCCTCACAGGTCTATCCAAGTAGCGAGTTTGGGCTGTTTTTCCCTAAAGTATTCGGATTGCTCTCTTCTACTAGAGCGCTTTATGGCAGGGCAGGGATGCAGAGCGAGGTTCTCCTTCTGACCCTCTGGGCCACAGCCTCTTGTAACTGAAGGTCCTCTGCCCACCTGCTCTCCCACCTCACCCAGCTGCTGTGACTTACAGAGGCACTATAAACGTGTATCTTAAAGAGCTGGCTTTTACCTTCATGATCCTCATTTGGGCATCTTACTAAAGGCTCCGTGTTTCTTTCTCTTTTTTTTTTCAGGATAAACAACTGTGTGGGTGAAGACAACCACTGGCTCTTTCTGCAGCTGTGTTTCTACACTGAGCTTCTGACTTGCTACGCACTGATGTTTTCTTTCTGCCACTATTATTATTTTCTTCCACTAAAAAAGCGTAATTTGGTAAGACATGTTTATATCCACTGATGTTAGAGCAGCCGTGTACACCTGTAAACACGATGGCTCCTTAAACTACCGGAGTGGCGGGCAGAGATAACAAAGCTAGCCTTAGACCAGTGAGCTTCACACTACACAGAGACTGAGAAAGTGTTACACAAGTCTCTTTATAGCTGTTTGTGTTTAGATATCTTCAGAAAATAAAATGTTAGTTCTTTTGGTATAGGAGTTTAAAAATAACCTAAAATAGTGAAAACAAAGAAAAAGTATCAATTTCTTGTTTTTAAAATAAAAACAAACATAGATTAGTTTATTTACTTATTTTACTATTTTAAAAGTTTCTTTCTTCTCTCCTCCCAGATCCTTCCCACCTTCATGCCTACGCAAATTCAGGTTCTTGTTCTTGCTTGTGTTTCTCTCTCTCTCTCTCTCTCTCTCTCTCTCTCTCAAAACAGAAGAAAAAAACCAAAAAGACAGAACCACCAAACCATAACCAAAAGAATTGGACATAAAAAGCCTGTTTTGTGTAGGTCAGCTATTCCTGAGCATTAGGTCTGCCCTGGAGTGTGGATAATTAATTAAATTTTTACAGGTTCTCAAAAATAGTTAACTTTTTGAGAAGAGGACTCCTTTCTCTCGTTTTAGTTTTTGCTTTTTAAGACTAGATTATGGAATGTAGCCCAGGGTGACCGTGAACTCTTGACCTTCCTGCTCAGTCTCCTAAAGTGCTAAGATGACAGGCATGTGCCACTTTATCTGGTCCTCTTTGGTAGTAAGATGAATTTCTAGGATGTTCTAGAGCAGTGGTTCTCAACCTTCCTAATGCTATGACCCTTAAATGCTATGACACAGTTTCTTATGTTGTGGTGACCCCAACCATAAAATTAATTTTGTTGCTTCTTCATAACTGTAATTTTGCTACTGTTATGAGTTGTAATGTAAATATCTGGATGGTCTTAGGCAGCCCTTGTGAAAAGGTCCTTCAGCCCCCAAAAGGGTCACGACCCAAAAGTTAAGACCCAGTGTTCTATTGTTCCAGAGTTGCCTTTAGGTACACATCATTTGAGCATTGCCCAGACTTGCCTACATGGTGAGGATGCTAGCAGCTCCAGAGCCTTTGGTTCACCTGTCTCAACACTGTGCTGTGGGCTTCTCATGTTAGTGTTTCTAGTATTTATAAGAGAAAATTGAGGATAATGGAGTAAATAAGGTACCGGACACAGAAAGGGAAAGATTACCCAACTGATTTTGGTTACAGAGCTGGGATTGAGCACAACCCTGTGTTACTTTTCATTTTATTTGGACTTTAGTTGTAGTTTTAAAAAATGCCGTGTGTGTGTGTGTGTGTGTGTGTGTGTGTGTGAGAGAGAGAGAGAGAGAGGGGGGGGGTGGGAGAGGGAGAAAGAGAGAAACACAGAGATAGAGACAGAGGTGGGGAAAGCCGGAAAAGAGAGAGCACATGCAAGTCCAGAGATATAAGAGAGAAAGAGAAAGAAGAACAGGTGGAGGGGTACTTTTTCTGTACTATTTACACTCTTTATGGCTTTGCGTTTGACATGCCATATATAGGTGTGTCGTTAAACTGTGTAATGCAAGTGATGGGAGTCTCAATTTTGTGTGTAGTTGCTTTTGGTGCACAGGCTTGTTCTGAGACTTGACTGTTGTGTGTGACTGCTGACCTCAGTGGGGATCTGACTTGAATATGATTGGATTGTGATTGTTAAATATGGTGTACCTTATTAAAGCTGGGTCCAATAGCTGGATCAAATTCAAAGGACAGTTTTGCTTCTTATTGGCACTGATCTTTACCCTAGCTCCTCATGCAAGCTGGATGAGTGCTTTGCCACTGAGCTGTAGCCCGAGCTTGGTTCTTTGTTTTGAGACAGGACTCACTAATTGGCCAGGTCCATCTTGACCTTAGTTTCACTCTGGTGCCCAGACAAACTTGGAACTTGTAGTCTTCCCCTCTTCCCTCAGAAAAGATGACTGTAAATGTGAATGTGAATCTTTGGCATTTTTCACACTGCGAATACAGTTCCTGTTTCTATTAGGGTTTTAGAAATGTTTCATCTTGCTTAAGGTTAATTTGCGGCATGATTGGTGTTAGTTAGAACATGTGAGTTCTCCAAGAAAACTGTTTGTGTTATAATTGGGCCTCAGAAGTATCTTAAAATTGTTCAGTGGACTGAAGATCACAGTTTTCCAAAAAGCTAGAGAAAAGATGTAAGAACAGTCAGTGGAGAGGAAAAGATCCTGAAGAGAGACCAACTTGCAGGGCAGGGCGGGGCCGCAGCCTCTGCCCCTGGAGGTTAATTGGATCTCCACAGTTAGCTGATTTTGTCAGTAGGTTTTACTGGGGGATAAGACAGCTGTTCTCGTTTTTCCATGCGTAGTCTATGGCTTCTTTTGTGTTACAACAAAGTTGAGTGGTGGTGACAGACTACCTGACTGGCAAAACTCAAAAATATTAAAGATTTGGTTCTCAGTATTAAGTGTGCTGACCATGGTAGTGGAAAACTCACTTTGAAAACAGATGTGCTAGGTGCAAATGCTTAGCTTCTCTTCTTGTGTATGTAACTTAACAGATTCCGTAACTCCTCTGATTGTAACTTCATGCTCTGAAAAATGTGAATGATAATGAAACTGAATAAGTTAATAACTATATACAGCCAGGCATGTTTGTTTTTGTCTATCCTAGAACTCTGGAGGCTGATTGCAGGAGCATCAGCAGTTCAGAGTCAGCTCAGCTACATAGCAAGTTTGAGGCTTGATAAGGCTAGATAGATAAGACCTTATCTGAAAAAGTTAAAGCAACTAAGAAAAAAATATATGCAAAAGTCTGGTAAATAGTAGATGTTTACCTTATGTTACATTGGTTTTACTAAAACCCTCAGAAGCAGAGAATATTTTCTTTAGCCGCTTCATTTTCATGGAAAAATTATAAACCATTGAACAATATTATTGGGGGTTTGGTGACAGATAAAAGAAATTCCAGTAACAACAAAAAAATGGCACAATAGTACTTATACGGAAGATTTAGAAATTTGAAATTGCAAGAACTTTTTTTTCTTGAATACTCGGCAGTGAGAACACAGCTTAGTGAATAGAGCCCTTGTGCCTAGTGTGGCTGCACACACTGTCATCCCAGCGCCGGAGCTTATGACCAGCGCTCTAGCCTAATGGGTGGACTTCACATCAGTGGGGGACCCTGCCTAACATTGTCCTCTGTGTCACCCAGCGTTTACATGGACCTGCACACACGTGAACATGCACACTGTGTGCACACACACAACATAAAAGATCACACGGTTCAGTCTAGTTTTTCCTGTTGACTTCTGATTTATTAATGGTAGCTTTTCTACTCTCTTGAGTTTTTAATTCTGTTACTTAGTACCTTGCACTTTTAGAATTTCCATTTGTTACTATTTCTCATAGATCAGTTTTCTACGGAAATTTCTGCATTTTGCCATTTTCTTGAACATTTTTAATGTTATTTCTTAATATTTTTAAGATTTATTTTTAAGATTAATTTACTTACTATGTATACAATGTTCTGCCTGCATATATTCCTGCAGAGCAGAGGAGGGCACCAGAGCTCATTACAAATGTTTATGAGCCCCCACGTGAGTGCTGGGGATTGAGCCCAGGACCTCTGGAAGAGCAGCCAGTGCTGTAACCTCTGACTCATCTCCCTGGCCCTTTTTAATTTTATTTCATGTGAATGAATGTAGTGCACCACATGCTTGTCTGGTGCCATGGAGGTAATCTGGGAAGGATGCCCTGGATTTGGAGTTGGGGTTGGTTGTATGCCACTGTTTGGGGTGCTGGGAATCCAACCCACATTGTCTTGTGTTAACCACTGAACCATTTTTCCAGTCCCTTCTTGAACATTTTATTTAAAGTTATTTTTATGTCCATACCAGATATTAGTCCTATACCCTGATAGACCAATTAAAATTTTATTGAGTACTGGGCAAATTGTATGGCCTGTTGTGAAGATGTTGATGTGTTTTAACTCCAGATTTAATTTACTCTTCTTATTTTCTTCTGTATAAGATAAAGGAGAATGTTTATCTTGACCCCATCAGATGACATGTTTTCCTCATTGTGAATTGGGCTTAGTGAGGTGACTTTTTAGGAGAACATCGTGCATTTTTATTTTGTAGGCTGTTTGGTTGCTAAGTTTTATGAAGGACTAGTTTCAATTTTCTGTTACTCCTCTTTGTATCTTCCTGGGGTTTCGACTGGTGGGCTGAGGTGTCTGTTGTGGATTGTGTTCTCCAGTGCCCTCCCCATGCAAGAGAGCATGCAGTAAAGAAGGTCCCGTTGCCTTTGAGGCGTCTTTGCCCTGGGATCTTGGCCTATATTCAGGTTCTGTCTGGATTGGCTGCTGTCACTGTGTTGCATAGCTGTTCATGGACTGGATTTATCTCACTTTTCACATAGTTGGGGTGTTGTGGGATCCCACACTTGTACACTGTTGAAAATGTATTGCTGTGATTGGTGTAATAAAAAGCCGAATGGCCAATAGCTAGACAGGAGGTATAGGTGGGACTTCTGGGCAGAGAGAGAGAGGAAGTAGGAGATGAATCTAGGCACTCAACAGACATCAAAATAAGGAGGAAGTCAGACAGACAGAATGAAAGAAAGGTAAGCCAATAGGCAAAATGTAGATTAAAATAAATAAGTTAATTTAAGTTATAAGAGCTAGTAGGACGAGCCTAAGCTAAAGCCGAGCTTTCATAATTAATAATTAATAATTAGTCTCTGTGTCATTATTTGGGAGCTGGAGGCCAACAACAAAGCTTGTGTTACATTGGGAAACTTAGTCTCCTACAGAGATTCTCTCACAGAGGTCGGTGGCAGCAAAGCTTTCGTTACTGTTTTTTTTTTTTTTTTTTTTGCATGTGATTCTAATCATTGCTGCCTAATTGTGCAACACCAAGGGGCAACACGGCTGCTCTAACCTATGTAACAAGGGTTCTTTGAAGTTTGAAAACTTATGT